CGGCGTCTCGCTTCCTGCAGCCTCTCGGGGACGCCCGGGGGCCGCTCTGCGGCCGAAGCGCTCCCCTGTGAGGTGGACGCGCCCCGCTCGCCCCTTGCATTTCCTTCTTCTGGGGAGTGTCTTCTTCCATCAAACTGTGGTGAAAAGGGCAGCTTGAGTCGGGGTTTACAACAGATTGCCTTGGCTGGCCTGGCCCCGACGCTAGAAAATGGAGACTTTACTGCAATACATACTCGGTGCATTGAACTTGTGCGTTTTTGGGGCGAGACTGAGCCCTGTCAAATGGGAGAAACTCTGGGCAAACTGCCCAGATACAAGATATCAGTGAAGATGCTACTTTCTGAAACTTTGCTCGTTCTTTGTTTATGAATTCAGAGTTACAGCAAAGAAAAGCAAGACAATTTTTTCACTGTTCTGTTTTTAGGTAGGTACTGCCTCACCATAAGGATGGCTTTCCAAGGGAACATAAAATGCCAGTTTAGTCGAGTAAAGCATCTGAAACTGTAGGCTGTATTTTTAAGCAATTTATGCTAGAACAAGGATCTTCATATATTTAACAAAGCTATCCCCAAGATGTTGCTCATCTTTCACACTTCATGCTTAGAAATGTTACATGAAAATTTTCCAAATTAATTGGTATTCTGATATTGCACAACTTCTTGTCTTTAAGAAACCAAAAAATTATGATGACACTGTTGTATAAAATCTACATAAGCTATGTTGCAGAATCTTTTAATGGCATTCTTTATAGTTTTTAATGTAGCTACATCCTCAGTGAAGTGTTCAGTCAATTCTAATGCCAACTTTTATTATGACTAGGTTTCTCAGGCTGCAGCTGACTTGAAGCAATTCTGCCTGCAGAATGCACAACATGATCCCCTACTGACAGGAGTATCGTCAAGTACAAATCCATTCAGACCCCAGAAAGTTTGTTCATTTTTGTAATTACGTGAACTACTTTGGTATCTTTCAGTGGTAAGTTCTTAAGTTACGATTCATAAACTCTTCCGTCATGAAAAATAGCCAGCTTTAAATGAGACTATCTGTATTAAAAGTATTCAGAAGAGACATCTGACTTCTGCAGCTGGGTTTAGATCCCCGTTTTGGGCCCCTCCTCTCCCATGCTGGTGGTAGCTTTGTACTGGACACATGATGTTCATAAGTATTATGAGTAGCATTTAGCTATTACAGAGCTTCAATTAGTTTCTGTTGCTGCAGCAAAGTAGTAGTGGGGCCAGCTACTACTGAGCTGCTATTTGGACTAACCTGGCTGTACAGTAATTCTGCTGTATCTTCCTTCCAGGTAAGAGTATTATTTCCATTTTCTCACATAGGATTACTCGCCTGACAGCATACATGGCAAATCCTGATTGTGGCAGATAAATCAGACTTTAGTTCTTCAACTTTTAAAAAGCACTTCCAAAGATAGGTTAGTGGTGGTCTCAAAGAGCGCTGTCCCCTATAGGACATGCTCTCTAAGCCAAAAGAAAAAAGTATGTGGTCCAAGAGTTGTTATCAATGCCCATACTCCACACAAATAAGCTACTACATCAGTAGGAGTTTAAAATAACTAGAAATGGTTGAATACTCATTTGGATTTTCATTCCAAAACTTCTATAGATTCATTAGCACTACTGCTATCACTATGAAGATTACTAATCTGGCATTCTTTGAAAATTCTGGTGGTTAAATTTTAGACTAACCTATTTAGAAGAGTGAGTTTTAGATCCACAGTAGTCTTACCAAGACTCTGAGTCACAATAATTCGGTATTTTGCCCATAGTAAATGCATGATAGTTTTACTGTGTCTCTCTTCCCCAGTGCCCCTTGACTTGGCTCTGTTGGGCGTGAGAGCATATAGTTACTTTGAAGCACCTGATATGCAGTTAACCGTAGCTCACAATCCTTAGAAATCTCACAGCACATCTTAACCTGGAAGAATTCTGTTTTTGTAGTGACTTACATCACCCAAAGAATTGCAGTTTGCTAGATTTAAGTTGTGTTATTTAGGCAGCTTTACAGAAAGGTGACCACAGTCAAACTGAGTTGTTAAAATTGTTCTTCCCTCAAGCAAACTGCAGAAAGCTTCCAAAAAGTTTGTATAAACAAGGTGCTTCGTGCTAGTAAAGACCAGAGTAGCAACAGTATAGAGGTTGATGCTTAACTATTTAACAAAAACACTTCCTCCATCATTTTGAGCAATGAATTGCACCAGTGTAACTGAAATGTGCTTTAGAATTCTTGTAGCTTTTAGTTATTTCTGTTGTGAATTTTATCACCTATTCTTATTTAAAAGATACTATTCTTGGATGCTGACTTGTGTTCACACTACTGTAGCTTCAGCTTAAGCGGTAATTAAAGGAAGAAATCAGATTAATCTGTAAGCATTATAGGCTGATAACCTATAAAAAGCCAAATAATAAAATTGTACTTCAATCAGTGACACATACTGTTCCTCACTGAGCTTTGCCAAGATCTGCTAATTCCTGGGTGTGGATGTCAGGAAATAACGTTTCCTCATAACATCTCACACATACGTGTGCATACACAGGCCATGAAAAGCTTAATACTGTCTTTATCAATTACAGCCCTTCCCTTTCTGATTTTGGAACAGAGCACTTGTTTCTGATGATGTTACAGGCAAAAGTCATTAGAACAGCAATTTTAGTTACACTACCTATATGGAAAAATTTCTTTCCTTCGCTATCTCTCTTGCAAGCACTTCCTCAAAATAGGCAATTTCTTAGTTGTAATCCTGGTGTTTTCATGATGAGCCAATGGAGTTCATGTTCACACAGTTTCAGCACCACTTCGGTGAAGAGGAAGTGGAATTTGCCAGTTACACAGACACCCTGCTTTGCAAAGGCAAAGTAGGTGCCTGGTAATTCTGTAAGCACCAAGTGACAGGGAACAATTTCTTCTGTCCTTCCACTTAGCAGCTTGGCTTCCAGGAGACACTAAGCTTCATTTATTTTGTAACAGCTTTGATTATCTTCTTGTAACCTTGGGGATAGTTTCATGGTTTTAAAGGCTTATTTTATAAACTAATACTTTTATAAAACAGCTATGGAAAAAGAGGATTTTTTTCCTAAATAGCTGTTCATGGCATACTGTGAGGGTGCATGTTCTTAGAGGTGCTTCATTTAGCACTGATACTTTTACTAACTACATTTTCGTTTTGTTTTTCAGATCTTTTCGCATCTTTTCCTAGCTGCTGATATGTGTAGGTCCAGAGTGCCTCAAGGAGTGGCCTGGTTTGAAATCTGTACAAAAGCTTAGCTTTAACGTGCCAAATCTAACTGTAAAATTGCTACTGTCGTCAAACCTCTTACCATCTACCTCTCCAAATGAACTGTATGCTAGTTTAAATACTTCTGTTTCATAAGGGAATCAGTTTTATATGCCAAGCAAAAAAATAAAAGCGTCTTGACTTAGTCTGGTCTTGAAATCACTTTGTTACAGTAATTAACTTCTAGATATGTTGACACCTCACCAGTGAACCACATCACTCTGCAGCAGCTGGAAAGCATATACAAGAATCTGTATTTAAATACACTGTGCTGCTGCAAGTTTGCCTGGGGTTGACTGTCTTAAAGAACAATGAGGGTTCATCAGTAGATGAACCCTTGTAGATGACTGACTGAGCCATCTTACTCTCTAGGTAAATATGAAAAAGCACTTACTATATGCATGTGAAAGAAAAGTAATTAAAAAACCCTCACATTTTAACTGCCAGTGAAACTTGAGGCAGAACAGTAGTCTCTTCTGCAGGTAATACCAACTTGAGTATAGCTATGAGGCTGAATAAGCATTTTTAATACTTAAATGGGAAAATCCTTTCTCAGAGACCTCACATATTCAACTGAACAAGCATTTTTAGATGAGATAGCTTGATATGCTTCCTGTAAGCTGGCTTTACAAATTCCTTCCCATCAGTGTTTATTCTTTTTATATGCAAGAATATCAACTGCCTTGGGTATATACCTTTTCTAAATATGACATTCACAGAAGAGATACCTGCAGGAGTGAAGCATATGATTTTTCTAATTTCAGCAACATGGCTATTTTATGCAAGATGCTAATGAAATAAAATACCGCAGATTTCCTGGATTGCGTACAGCCTTCTCAGCGTTCTCTAGATAGGAGACCATTTTTGGAAAACTATCACCATACTGTCAGGGAACTGTAAGTTAGAAAGAGATTTAAAGTATTTATGTCTGCCTTGGTTAATGGAAGATGTCTGGGTTTAGCTGCTTAACAGAAAAAAAGCCATATAACTAGCAATACTTTATTTTGAGAGTATCTTTAACCAAAATATTTACTGTCTTTGTTGCAAAGTGTAATTTATCTCTACAGCACAGCAGCAATCATTGCAAATCTTCAGTGATAACTAAATTACAGGCTGCTTTGATGTTGCCATAGTTTTTCCAGCTAAACTGGAAATAGAGTAACTGTCCTTGTCACGTTGGATTTAGCTACAAACGTAGGAAGAAAGATGTGTCCTACTTGATCTGCTCCTGTAGAAAGTTTTAATGTTTGCAGTTTGTCTTTCTGCAGACAGATATCTTTAGTTAGGACTCTTAAGATAATCCGTAGTTCAATGCAGTAGTTTTATTTCTGGTCACCAGAAATTGGCAGATAGTTGTCCCTTATAAGTGAAATTTTCTTCTACTTGTGTCCATTTCTCGGCGCTGAAATTTAAAAGAAAAGTTACTAACCAGCAAATTCATGCAACAGGATACAAATAAGGATGACGACTCCAGCTTATAGTAGGGTAGGCAAGTGAAATTGTCACAGTTACAGTGTAGTTCTTTATAGTCAGCTTTTCAAGACTAACAAGGGAGAAGAATTAGACATTAGTGATGTAGAACTAAAGAACATGTACCAGTTCTCTGTTTACTGAAAACAAGCAAGATTATCTATTTCATGGACTACACCAGGAGTACTAGAATTTTCCTTCCGGTATAGCTTGGATACTCATTTCTAAGTTTTGACAATCAACTGCAATTTCATGGTAAAAATGACTGGAAAAGTAATTTATCATTGCCTAGGGTGATACTTCCATTTCACTTGAAGATGTGCAGAGGTCAGTGTTACTTTACATTCAGTATTATGAAGTGACACTTATGTAACTAGACTAATCATTTTTACATTATGATGCTTGCATTTACCTTCCACAAAAATAGCTCTAGTCAAGTTTACTAGGCTTCCAATAATAGCTTATACCAGGGGAGCATTTTTCATGCTTGCTTGTATCTATATGTTAAAGAAATTGCATTCTGCAAATAAGTAGTCACAGTGTATTGATATTCATCACCCTTGCTATTTTTATTTTTGACTTGCAATACAGCAGAATGCTTCTACTTTGCATATTTCTCAAAGTATACCTCTCAATATTTCAGTTAAACATTTCCGTATTGACAACTGCATTTATGCCACTTTTTTAGGCTAAGATTTGTGATTACATTTCATGTCAGATTTAGTCTCCCTTCCCAAGCAGGACTATTATTACTTAGACATACCTTATGAATCCATTCGTATTCTCCAAATTTGGAATCAAAGGTTCCTTTTTGAAGAGACCTCAGCTTTAACGTAAAACGTGGCCCAAGTTCTTGAATTCCCACTTTCTTTTCACTCTTGAAGATATATCTTGGGGAAGAAATAAGAATAAAAATTAGGAATTAAGTTACAAGAACATTCTCTTGTCATTTGTGAGTTCTGCGGAAAACATCACCTGTGGAATCTGAAAAAGATGTAGTCTCGCTGGTTGTGAAATGTAGCTACTTGTCTTCCAATGAACTGAGGATCATGTGGGAAGAGTGAAGCAAACATGCGACCGATAGAATGTCCGAGTCGTGTTGTAAAATTATTCAGGATTACTTCAGGTGCGTGTTCTGTGGGCTCTTTCCCTCTTCGCTGAAATGAAAGTAATGGGTAAGAATGCAAAAAAATAGCTCAAATTCAAAAGGATTTTAATATATTATCAAAGAAGAGTTTGAAATAAAATGGGGAGGAAGACAACCAGGGCCAACTTCCTGTGTAACAGGAAGGAACATACCCTAATTTTTTCAAACACAACCTAAGTTCATATACAAGTAAAGGAGTAGCTGGTAATATAACGATCTTTGGTTCAACAGGACAAATGGAATGAGTAGGCACAAAGAAATAATTTTACATTGCCTCTCTCCTGCACCAACTTCCTCTCCTGGCAGCACCCCTTGTAGCAAATACTGCAGTCTGCCTACCACAGGAGTCTTCTCTCTGTATTAATACCTACTAAGAGTATATGGGACTAAGACTGTATGGGATTCTTATTAAAGAAGGCGGCTAAGGTTAAAAATCACTTATTTCAAAAGAGAAAAAAAAATTTACTGCAAATTATTTAGAACTAATACTACAGAAGAGGTGACGGGGCTATAAGAATAGGAAAAACTAGGCTTTATTGAAGACTAGGAACTATGTCTATTGAAATCTTTTATACTCTGATTTTTATATACCTTATTGTGAGTACACTGAACATTGGGTATTCCCTATTGATGTAGGTTATCAGCTGCTATTTATTGGCATGACTATAAAAATGCTCGGCAGACAGGTACAGAAATTCAGCAAGTAACTATGCAAATGGAAATACGCTGCTTACAGAAGTAGAATATACTAGTCTTTGGCCTCTTGTTAGCTTACCAAAAAATGCCTTTACAAAGTCAGCTGAATCATACAAAAGTGCAACTGGTTTTGACTGTTAAAGTAGACTGAACGTATTATCATTAACAGACTACCCATTTTTTAAATTGGAGTCTCACCTTTATTTCTTTACGCAAACGGACGCTACTCATTCTAAAATGAGCAGTAGGACCATCGGGCAGATGACTTAAAAGAAGACCATCTGTTCACAGAGTTAGAAAAAAAGGCTGGTAAAATTCATTACGTAATTTACAGAGGAATGTTTTCTGCAAAATGCAATATTACATTAGAATATTATATCCATAATTTATGCCCGATTGACAAGGTTTCATTTTTTTTTTGAACATACATTCATAAACTAGTTAACTAGTGTTCTGAAGTATGTCCACTAAATTTTGTTTCAATAGCTAACCAGAGTTATCTTCTATCGCTTTCTCACTTAGTAATGGTTTATCTAGTCAGCAAAACTAAATGGAACTTCCTGGTCAGAAAAACTTGTTAGTTAATCAAACTGTTGAATTTATCGAAATAATAACAATGTTTATCCATGTGTTACAAACTAAAAAAAACCCAAAACCCACCCAACACACTTTCTTTAATAATTCCAAGTTCCATTAGCCATCAGATATTGTTGGCACAGTGATTTTTAACTCTGTAGCTATACTGTAAGCTGCACAGTGAAGAGAAAAAAATCCAAAATAAAGTAGATCTTTGATGCACACTACAGAATTATTTTCTTTCACTATTTTAATAAATACACAGGAGGATACTTGGTATTTTGCGATCTTCATTAATGACAATTAAATCCGTGAAGTCCCTTGCAATACACTGTGGAATAATTCTTTTCAAAGCCAGTCCTCTTCGATAGTAGACATGCGAGTTAGGTATAACGGTAGACAGTTGTTCACAGAATCTCACTGTTCTCTGCAAAACAGGTGAGTCAAATTGCAATGTGGTAAATACAGTGCCAAATTCAAATGTTAGGGGAATGGAGGGTTGCTTGTTCCAACTGCCTTCCCTGATGATACACTACTTCCAGTATCTCTAAAAACATTTGAGGACAAGCTATTAAACTACTTCACTCAGTCAGTGGAAAAAAAAAAAAAAAATGTATTTGCAGTAAAGACTGCAGCACATTAAGGACTTTTTTTTTTTTAAAAGGATTCCCCACGCCCAATCACAAAAAAACAGGAGAATTCCAAAAGCATAACCCCCAAACTCATTATTTATTAAGAACACTGGTTTACAAAAGGTTCATAACATTTCAAAATACAATAAGATACTATTACTTCTGGTACTAATGTCTGAGTTTCCAGATAAACTGTTTGAGGCGTACTTTTTCCTATTTTTAAAACCACTTCTATGGTTTTCACATATCAGTAATCTCCCCAGTTAGGTAACACAGATCGTTTGCATACAAGAACATATGCATGAGGTTGGGGTTTTTTTTATGAAGGAAACAAACAGTGCTAGAGAAACTAATAGATTTACATACATATACAAGGTTATTGATAGTCACTAAATAAAACAGCAGAAAAAAATCCATGTGAAAGCTATTATTTTCAGCTTTAATTTACCAAACATAGTATGAAAACCTTGGTATCTCATAACCAGTTGAATGCTCACAACTCTCCAAGTAAAGCATACATACCCCACGAGGTCTGTCTGATGTTGTAATAAGAATCTTCGGAACTGTCTGTCTGTTGAAGTATGGTGCAAACTCATCAGTTGCTTCATCAAAAGCAACCTGGAAGAACAGAATTCTTGTTAATCCACCATGAAATAATTGAAGAATAATTGTTTAATCTGATCTAAATTCTGATGAAATTGAATTTAGTAGGAAAAATTTCCATTCACAAGCTCTATCCTATAATTAATCATCACAAGGCATGTGGTTTTTACATTAAGAATCCAGTGTGATGAACATTGACAGGTTTTGCTATCAATAACAGTAATGCAAAAGGCAATTATCTAATGTAGATAATGAAAGAATGACATAATATCTTAGTGAGATCACATCACATGTAAAAGGTAATCCATTAACACCTTAACAGGAGAGTATTGAATATTAAGTCTCATCAATCCATTTTCTGTCCCTTCTTAGAAAAAAATGATTAACTTAATAGCATATGCAGAAATTAAGCATTACCTCTTCGTCATTGGGATCTACAGTTGTTTCGTCATACACTCTCTGATTTTCAATAGTCTTTGGTATGGCTTTTGGAGGTGCCTAAAATAAGGAAGTTTATTAACATAAGACATTAATGTAATCTTTAAGTGTTGTAAAAAACACATTTATACTACCATTATATAGTGTATATTTCTGCACAGAATTAGAATTACTGTTTATTTTATGCCAGATTTTAGAAAAGTTATAACATCACCTTGAGTAAAAATGTGCATGGCTACTGGGACACCAGAGAGCATTGTATAGAGGAGAAGCATCGCTAGAACAGTGACCCTGCTTAATTTCAGTCTAATTAAGAAATGGAGTTCCAAAACAAAACAAAACAAACAAACAAAAAGTGGGGAACTTTCTACCCACTACTCTCCCATGGAAAAAAAAATATCTCTACTTTCAACAGCAACACATTTTTGCTTTGACATCTACAATTTAACAACTAATAGTGTATAATGTTTACCCTGTTTACTTACACTACTCTTGTGAAATTATGATAAGACAGGAATTCACAATTTATTGTCTTCAACTGTCAGTAAGCTTTTGAAGTAGTTCAGGAAAATAAGGAAAAACTCATGTTTGTGCCTAGACTTGGAAACAAGCAGACAACTGGTCTGGGCAGGGTTTAGTCACATCTGAATGTTTTCATTTATACAGGAGTTACTTAGTAGAATATAATTCCTAATAACATCAACACAATGCCATCGCAATTACATTGGACAGGTAAGACTCTTCAGGAAGGGCCTGCTTTTATGCCACTATTAGCATAAAACTCACCCTGCCTGATTACAGCATCACTTAACACTGTACCAACAACGCTTCTAAGCTCAGCTGTTTGATACTTCCCCTACCCAACACAGCATTTTGAAGGCTCCCACGGCCAGCAAGCACCGAGACAACTGCTCCACTGAAGTCTGTGGAGAAACCGTTTCACTCACGAAACTGAGCAATCCCCAGCACAAGGCCAAGCTGAAGAACCACCACCAAGGCAAGCTCTTCCCCGTTTGCGGCGGAGCACCACCTCCCTGCAGCGGGGACGGCCTCGCCACCACACGGGGCCGCGGCACGCTGCGACTGGCGCCCTTACTTTGTCTCCGAGGGCTTCTCGCTCCTTTCTCCGCTTCTTCTTGGCGGCCAGTTTCTCCTAACGGGAGAGGGAGGGCGATCCGTTAGCCAAACCCGCA